GCGGTGGGTCGGATTGCGGCTGAGAGGCCATATCAGTATCACTTTCAATAGACACGTACCGCGCTTTGTCCTCTGGCCTGCTCATGCCCAAGCGATTCATGTTGATCTCCACCCGCATCTTCTTCAACCTCTCCCTCAGATCCCTTGTCCTTTCGCGTTCCTTTGCGCGGCCGAGCCGCACCTTTCTGAGCATGCGGCGCGTCTCGGCGAGCTCGTCGTTCAGGTCGCCCGCCTCGACGGTCATCTCGTGCAGCCGGCGCATGCACGCGTGGAGCGCCTCGGTGAGCGCGTCGATGTCTGCGCGGGAGAGGGCGAGGGCGTGCTTGGCCGAGTCGGTCCATTTGGTGAGGATGGCGACGGAGGAGTCTTTGCGCGCGAGGTCGCGGTGGACGACGGCGAGCTCTTTCTTGGCGGATGCGAGCTTGGCGGTGAGGGCTGGGGAGTTGACGCGATGAGTGGACGTTGGGGTGTGGCGTCGCGAGTGGGTTGGGGGGTGGTGCGGTGAGTGTGTGGGCGTACTGTGGTTGGTCTCGGTGCCGCTCAATTCAGAGTCAGAGTCGGGAGGTGCCTCGGTCATGATCGAGTCCTCGTCGCCGCCGGCCTTCTCGTTTGGCGTACGCGTTGTCGTGCCTGACGCTCCAGCCGAACATGCGTTAGATTCCGCAATAGATACCTCAGTGGCAATAGGCGTAGCATCGCGCTCTCCTTGGGTGGATGAGATCGCGGCCGAATCTAATGCAATGAGCTCCGATTCAGACGAACTATCGAACAGACCGTCCTCCGACATCGTTCGGACGGACAGGTCTTTGAGAGCGCGCGTTGACGTCGGCATGGATGCGGGCATTGTGACTGGACGCTCGTGATACGGTCGACGAGAGAGCGCTATGACGACACAGCGTGGATCTTTATCGTCCGCTGGGGAGTCCTTGTGTGGCGCAAAGGGTCGACGGTGAGCGCGCAGCCCCAGGCGTTTGAGATCGACGAGCAACGCGAGTGAGCGATAGCCTAGAGTCAAGAGCGAGCGATACTGAGATGAGTGATGTAGATCGACCCCAGCAAGCGCTCAGTGGCCACCGGAGACCGTTTTGGCGGCAACAAACGCTCGTCCTTCGCCTCTGCTCGTCTACGCTGGCCACGTCTCTCGTCCACCGCCTCCTCCGTCTCCCGCATTCACAGCCCACACCGCGGTCCAATGCACCAGCCCGCCTCCATCGCGCAAGCCTCGCCTACCCGCTGCAACACACGCATCTCACGGCCGCAGCCCAGGACTGCCCAGTGGGAAGGGTCGCTTATGGAGATGTCGATGAGCACGAGGGCTGCGCGACAATGTACGTATCTTGTCCTCTGTGCCTCTGCCTGCCGTGCGCTCCCGTTGTCCCCGCTCTTCGTTCTTCATACGCCGCGCTTGAACGCCTGGCGACGTCCCGGTCTCGATGGCAGATCCGACATCGACCGCGAACGCGTGCTGGGTCGACTCAACCATGCAACGCAGGTACGCATCTCTTCGTTCACTGCGCGCCCTGGCTGTCGAGCGACGTCCGCGTACCCAATGCCGTTCTCCCTGCTCTGACCATGTCGCCATCAGCTTCGCGCGCCCGGATGCAACCCACACGCTCTTCCAACGATGAGCGCTGTTCGTTCGACCGCATCGACAACAGCATCCATTGCCGCGTTGCCGAGACGCCGCCGTCGTTCGGCCCTATCCATGCCTTCTGAACGTACATCGCCGCTCGCCGACCGTCGCGCGCTCAGACGCGCGTTCTTCCCCAGCCGACGAGCGGCAATACCTCCACGATATGCGCGTCATCGATGGGTCGCGGCGCAAATGCCCAGCGCGTGCGTGCAACGCTGAGATAGTGGGATCAGGAGCGGGGGTCAGGATTCGCATTGGGCGGAAATGATACACCCGCGCGCGGTTCGCGCGTTTCACGGTGAGTCTGTATGTAATTGATCATCGCGCTGGCATGCGAACGCAGCCATCGCTCGCAGCTCACGCTCATCTCATCACGCGCCGCGAGCGTTCTGCTCTGCTGTTGGCGAGAGCGACCGCGCTCGCGTG